ATTTCATGTCCTTAACGAACAAGGGTGGGTCTAATTCCATAAAGAAATTGATAACTACTGCCTTAGCTTGAGGTAACACTTTACCAAGTGAAGCTAGTGTCCTTGAAAATAGTGTCACCTCCTCACCAACGTAGAGTATATCCAGTGGCATATCTTCAGCACGCATCTTAGACAAACCAGGAAGGAAATCAAAGGTTCTATCTCCAGCACTATTTGCACACTGCTCGCGTAACAAGTCAATGTAAAAATAGAGAGAAAGTGAGCATGACATGGGAAGCCAAACTGGAACCCAAGGAACATTTAGGGTCTGAGCAACAACGAGAGAAGAGGTTACAAAAGCATCAGAAATAATACAAGTGACTCTCTGCTTTGTCTCTGCAACTGCCAATTCAATACCCTTGTGCAAGTTCTCAGGACCAGTCTTAAGAAAAAGGTTCAACTTTTCTGTGGGACGACTACCCAGCACGTGGCCATCTGGGATTCCATCACTTACACTATAGGCCTTGATGTTGTTTGGGATGTAAGGTTTTGGGAAAAGGATTGCATTGGATTTTCCAGTGCCAATGAAAGAGAATGAACAGTTAGGAGCAGCACGAGCGAGTTTGAGGACAAGGTTTAAGAGAGGCATAAGGTGACTGCCAAAGGGGAAAGCAATGATTGCAACATGTTTGTTTTCCGATGAGTTTGACATAGTTGGCAAGCCGAGAATGAGACTGGAGAAAGAACAACGAAAGCAGTGGACGGGAAGCAAATGTGGGTTGGGGTGGTGTTGGGAATGGCCGAACGAATGACCTTATAATTTGGTACTTTTTCTTTTTCTTTTTCACATGTCACTAATTAATTGTGAGAGTACATATCTAGCTGCAGTTTTAATGTGTCTCATTATTAATCTCCAAGGATTAGGAGGATAGGGTAGTCCTTTATCAAAAGCAGAAAAAACGGTGGAATTTAGGAGATATTTAGTAGAGAAAAAAATCTTTTTATGTCTGAAAATTATGATTAATAGGAATATTTTGGAAAAATAATTTTTTTGATAATAATAATTAAAACTATTTAATAAGCTAAAATATAATCAAAAATACTATTAAAAAAGTAATATAAATTTTTTCTATATTATGAAAATCCAAAAATATTACCTTGGATAACATTTTGATTCATAAAGCTTCAAAACATATTTTCGTGAGAATCTGATTTTTCTGAAAAATATTTGTAACAATTCTTTTATTAAATATAAATAAATAGAATTATCAATGTCAGTTTCGCGAATCAAATTTTTCCAAACGCCCCATGAAGGTACAAGAGTAGGTAGAGCTGGATGATGCTCTCTATCTTGAGTAGCATCTCACTTGTCCGGACGGTACGATTGTTTGTGGCACGAGGAATATTGCTGCTTTATTTTATTTTATTTTTCAGGAAGATACGAGGCTTACAAAGCATAAACCTGGCCTTCTGTGTACCACATATCAAATTCAATCACACGAGCCACAGATGTAAACGGAACAGTGATTACAGTGTCACTGGTTGACAAATTTTTTACCAAAATATCATACAAATAATACTTTTTATCAGACTACCACGTGATGTAATTCGTTACGACTGATAACGAATTATATTCACCAATTATTTCACGACACGTGGTCATATTGCATACCAAATTCGCTACCACTAGTAGCGAATTACGTCCAGTCATATTTTTCTACAAAAATATGTCACATGTCACCAAATTATTGGCGAACGTAATTCGCTACCAGTCTTAGCGAATTACATCACGTGACAGTCTGGTTAAAAATACTGTTCATGTGGCATTTAGATAAAAAAATTTGCTAAAAAGTGGCACTTTAGTCGATGTTCTTCTGATGTAAACTTATAATGCAGTGGTAATTAATTTAGGGGAAAAGTGTTTTTCTTTTTAAATGATATAATTTGTATTATTTTGTTCTTACAAAAAGATGTGATCCATATTGGTTGTAATTTTCACCTAACTTAGCAATTTATTTTATGTTGTAATTGAGCTGAATAGATTAAAATGCAAGTAAAAAGGCTCAAAAAATGTGTAAAATAGATCTACTACGAAATTTGGGCTGACAATGGCAATTTTGTAAATAATTTGATAAATTCTTTTGCCATTTAATCACAAGATAACGGGATTGTGAGAGAGGAGTTGATGTGGCGAGTTGTGAATTGTTGGATGGAATTCAGAATTGGATGGACAACAAGCTAGAAAGGATTTTGTGTGTTCAACGTGTTAAATAGGAATTTTTGGCTAAAGTCATAAGAGTTAGTTTTAGTTTTAATTGTTCCAGTTTTACAAGTTTATTTTTTTACAAGTTTCCAATTCTCTAGTTTCTCCAAGCTCTAGTTTTGGTATTAAGCACATGCAAGAACTCGATTCTTGGAGGAGTCCAACAGCAAGCCGATTTCAAGCTTTGTGTAACTCTGAGTAGATTTTCATTATTTGCACTTTGTAGATCAACTTAATGGTATGTAAATCTTCACTTTTACCTTATGTTTTCTGATTTTAGAGAGCAATGAACATGTTTCTTTTAATTATGATTTTCTTTTAACATGCATTGCTAATTTTCTTTCTAGAATTCTGAAGAAAATGATAAGTACCCATTAAATAATGGGTTTGTGTTTTCTAAAGTTACTTTAGATAACTATATCTAATGTTCACCGAAACGACGTCGTTTCATGGTATTTTTGTAATTTTAGTTTATTTCAGGGTTATAATAGTCTTTATCATTCTAATTTTTAAATTTTTCAACCATAAAACGACGTCGTTTTGATGAACATTAGATAAAGTTATCTAAAGTAACATTAGATACTTTTTTCCCTTAAATAATTTGACTGGTTGTGCATATTCTTAATGCTTGATTAATAAAACTTTCTGGTTTGAGTTCCATGGGAATGGACTTTAACATTTCTTGCATGAACTTGAATTGGAAAATTTGAGTTTATGAATTTTATTAATTAATCACTCGAAGATTAGGGATAATCTGGGGTAGAAATTGATTACACATCATCAATGAACTGATTCAAGATTAAGGGATTAATTTGAATTATTTTCAAAACTAGGTTTGGAAAAATTAAGTGAAGTTCCACAAAAATCAAGTTCTATCAAGATAATTGCTATAACAGTTAAAACGCAGACATGCAACTTTTAAGGAAAAGTCATTGAAATCAAAATTCTAGAGTTTTAATCTTGATTCTAAACTGTTTGAATACTTTGTACTTGTTGATTTCATATTCTGATTATTATTTTTTAATCTCAATTTAAGCTAAGTGTATTTTGTTTTACTGATTTAATTACTTGTTCAAGAAATTAGAAATAGAATAAATAAAGAATCTAAACAAACCGTTCATTGAAAAAGATCTTGATCTTCGGATCTACACTACCAACAATCCACATCTTTATTTTTTTTTATTTACTCTCACTCTCGTTATTTATTTATTTTTTCACTTAAAATGATACAATTTTAGATATTTTTTCTTTAGTTTAGATGTCTGTAAGTAAGATATATCATATAATATTATTTACGACTATAAATTGCAAAGAGGGAGAAAATTTAATATGATCCAAACCATTGAATACTTGAGTGTTTCTTCTCACAAGCACAAATTTTTTTTCCAGTTTTATCCACACACACAAAAAAAAAAAAAAAATTCTCTTCTTTTTTCCCTCCCTATTTCTAAGAAGAAACAGCAAAAAGATGATGACACAAATGAATCAAAAATAATCTTGTAAAGAGGGTTGATCCGATCCGACTCTATGCTAACCCGCCAAAATACGGAGTCGCAGGTTGGTCTATATTTAAATAGGGTAATAATTTTCTTATGTAATTGGAGATAAATATTATTTCTTACTAAATCATTTATGTAGATAGGGTCTATTTTCAGGAGAAGAGAGAAAGAAAATAAAGTCAAATTTATTTTGGTTTCATATATATGGGGATTGATTTTCTCATGTTAAATGAGAATTCAATTCTCATGTTGTAGAGATAAAAAACATGTGGGACCCAGGTGTTAGAAAAAATTATATGTAGGACCCATGTCAGTACGGAAATCGAAGGGTGTATACGAAAATTTGAATTCTCATGTTAAATGAGAATTATAAAACCCTATATATATATATAGGGAAAAAGAATTCTTATGTTGTAGGAGAGCTCTCTTCTCATGTTAGTAAGAGTTCGTTTTGCATGCAATAATTTTTTTTGTTTTCTTTATTTTTTATGTGTGGGCCCACCATAAATTTGAGTGTGTAGGAGATTTCCTCCTCTCCAATAGCATGAGAAAAACATTGCTCATATATATATATATATATATATATATATATATATCAAGAAATATTTTGACTTTACAAGTCTTGCTCTATATTTTAATCTTATTTAATAGTTATAATTTAGGAAGTCATACTAATTAATTATATTATAAATGATAATCATTGATTTTCATCCATCAACGGATGGGATGAGAAATAAAACTTGTATAAATATTATATATATAATATTTACCATAAATAAAATATTTTCTTTTTTATCTTTATAGAATAATATTAATATAAAATTTTAAATATCATAAAAGCTTAACATAACAAATAAAATACCACTAGATACTTAAAAAACTTGACCTGATGGGTCAAACCCCCACCCCCACGGCGAGTTCAAGCTTGGGAATTTCAACTCAACCTCCGTTCACGGCGGGTTAAATGGATTTGCCTATCAAGTTTTCCATTTCGTCATCTCTAGTTAGAACTCTTATATCTAATTTTACAAAGATTAACAGATAGTAATGATGATGGAAGAAATTTTATCATCTTAATTATAAATAATAAGTGAGGCCTTCTCTGAAGCTCAAAGCATGTTTGATTGAGATATATGTAAACGAAAGAAAGTATCACGAGACACTTACTTCTGAATCAAAAATATTTTTCTTCGATTACGCTGTTTGACAAAATTGCTCTATGTGCGAAAATAAAATAATTAAGAGCAAAAGCTGTGAAACAATAATTCTCCTATATTCTTAGTTTCTTACAATTCTCCTATATTCTTCCACCCAAGAATAATTTTATACAAAATAAAAATTTAACCAATAACCCAACAACAGCAAAGGATGAAAAACACAGGAAACAACATACCAAAACCAAATCATTCCCCGTTAAAGTCGACTAGCGAGCATGGGGTGGAGAAAATTCTTGTACGCAGTCTTATCGCATAATTGCAAAGACATTATTTTCTAAATTCGAACAACCTTTCACTCATGAAAGAACAATTTTACCACATAAACAACATACAATAGTTAAAATTATACTATGCGCTGATAATAGTAAATAGACTTGCAAAAAACCTCACCAGTTTCGTAAGATCACTTGGTGCGTTTGATTTTTTGCAGCTGAACCTGCGTTTCCATGAAGATCTGCATCCTATGGTACTCCAAATCCTTAGCAAACGGCATCCCCTGTTTGTCCAACTCCACCATTTGCCTAAGTCGTACAATATCTTTGAGATTGATATAGCTTATTAGTCCTGCAAGTTAAATTATAGATTTGACCAAAAAATAATAATAAACCTCCTACCGCTAAACCTACATAATCTATTAAGCTAAAAACACAGAAAATAGATTATCCAATACTCAAACCAAATCACCTTGATGTATGCAAATTTCTAGATTATGTGAAATAAGAGTAGAACTGTTGATATAATTATTTTACATGAATCATATAATAATTTATTATTTTATCTAAATTATATGATATAATTGTAAATAAAGAAGGTTAGGTACCTGACTTTTAAATAAATTCACTTTTAAATTTAAGCGATGAGTGATGACAAGTTACAGTTACACCAAGCCAAATCTAAGGCATGTCAGGCACTAACCGCATCATAGACCGGCTAGCCTATTTAAACTTCTAATAATTTAGTAATAACAATATATGAAAGCTACTCAATTTTATAATTTATTGGGTGAATGTAACAAACTCAAATTACTGAGGCTAGCTATTGCTAACTTCCCCCATCCTTAAGATTCAGAAATTACATCCACCAAAGTCATGAAATCCTGTGCTGCTTGCCCTTCTGGCCTTGCTGCATCTTGCAATGTCTTCTTCACCTTAAGGGCATTGTCTCTAATTTTCTTCCCCTCTTCCTGCACCTGGATCAGATTCAAGCTTTTAATCAATCCACTTTTGTTGAACTTCCTACCTTCTATTATCACCCCAAACTCCCAAACATCCTGGATCATTCTCGCAGCTGTCCCTTGATCTCCAAAGAATGGCCTGCAAATCATAGGCACCCCATTGCAAATACTCTCAGTCACAGAATTACACCCACAATGAGTCACAAAAACTCCTACCGATTCATGAGCTAAAACTTGAGATTGAGGAGCCCAAGACACTATTTTCCCACGCATGTTAGTCCTCTCAAGAAATCCATTTGGCAAAAGACCCATTTGATGTTCCTTGAGAGACCACAGAAATGAAAAGCCACTATCTTCCAATGCCTCTGCCACTGCATTAATCTCATGTGGAGGTGGTGTCACCACTGTCCCAAAGCAAACATATGCCACTGATCTAACCTTCTGCTTGTCCAACCATGACAAGCATCCATTTGTATCTGTGTCGGATGATGGCAATAGCGGGGAAGGAAGTGGAACAACATAAAGCATAGATTGTAACTTGGACCTCATGTCCTGAACAAACTCGGGTGGTTCTAATTCCAAAAAGAAATTGATAACTACTGCCTTAGCTTGAGGTAGCACTCTACCCAGCGAAACTAGTGTCCTTGAAAATACTGTCTCCTCCTCACCAACGTAGAGTATATCCAGTGGCATATCTTCAGCACGCATCTTAGACAAACCAGGAAGGAAATTAAAGTTTCTATTTCCAGCACTATTTGCACACTGCTCGCGTATCAAGTCAATGTAAAAATAGAGAGAAAGCGAGCATGACATGGGAAACCAAACTGGAACCCAAGGAACATTTAGGGTCTGAGCCACAATGAGAGAAGAGGTTACAAAAGCATCGGAAATGATGCAAGTGACTCTCCGCTTTGTCTCTGCAAGTGCCAAATCTATACCCTTGTGCAAGTTCTCATGACCAGTCTTAAGAAAAAGACACACTTGTTCTACTGGATGGCCACCCAATACGTGGCCCTCTGGGATTCCATCATTTATGCTATAGGCCTTGATGTTATTTGGGATGTAAGGTTTTGGGAAAAGGGTTGCATTGGATTTCTCAGTGCTAATGAAAGAGAATGAACATTTAGGAGCAGCATGAGCGAGTTTGAGGACAAGGTTTAAGAGAGGCATAGGGTGACTGCCAAATGGGAAAGCAATGACTACGACATGTTTGTTTTCCAATGAGTTTGACATAGTTGGCAAGCTGACACTGATAGTGCAGAAAGAACAATGAAAGCAGTGGAAGCCAAATGAGAAGAATATTGTACATTAGATGTTGCTCTGATATCATTCATTCCCCCTCGTGGCAATTGGAGAATCTACTTGTGCTAGTTTGTTACGGAAGTATTTGCTGTTTGTGTTACCATTCAAACTTGGACCATATCTTGGGTACAGTTTTTGTAGGGAGGACTGAGTTCTAACCTATTTTTTTTCGGCCTTATCCTTTGTACTCGTTCAGGGAATGAATTAACCTTTGATACCAAAGTTTACTAGTGGCCCTCATGGCTCATGGGGGGAATCAAATAAATAATAATAATAATAATAATAAAATATTACTATTCGACCATTATATCTAATTTAAATTAGCTTGTATTCTGGCTTTTCATGTCGAAGAGCCACATATGTAACTGTAATTAGTTTAGATGTGTGTAAATAAGATATATCATACAATGTTACTTATACGACCCTTATATCTAACTAGTAACTCTATAATTAAGGGATTAATTAAGCCGGGCCATAAAAGAAAAGGATGAAAAACACAAGAAACAACATGCAGCAGTTAAATTATACTATGCACTGATAATAAGAATAAACTTGCAGAAAAACCTCGCCAGTTCCGGAAGATCGGTTTGTGCGTTTGATTTTCTGAAGCTGAACCTACGTTTCAAATTTTCCGCGAAGAGGTGCATCGTGTGGTACTCCAAATCCTTAGCAAACTGCATCCTCTGTTTCTCCAACTCCACCATTTGCCTCTGCTTCGATGCCTCCACTCTCTCCAAACCTTTCCTTCTCGCTCTTCCCAATTGACCTCCGATGCACCGGTGGTAGCGAGGGCTGAGTTGAGGAATAACGGTGTTTTTGTCAATTACAATTTAAAAAAAAAAAACTAGTAAATTCAAAAAAAAAAAAAAACCATATTTACTAGTACTAAATACTGTCCACAAACCATTCCCACTTTCGGTCAGAATTTCTTTGAATATGTCCTCCTTGAATTCATTCGAGATGTGAGCAAAACTCAGATTGGCGAAGAATATGGTCCGTGGGTTCCATTTATTGGAACAATGTTTCTATTTATTTTTGTTTCTAATTGGTCAGGGGCTCTTTTGCCTTGGATTATCTAACCGTTAGGGGCCGCTTGGTATGCGGTATTTTGTAGGATTTCCGGGAAACTGAATTTTTTTAAATTTTAAATTTTCGGATATTATCGTAAACTGAATGTAAAAATTATATTTTTGAAATTTGAGATTCCCGGACAAATAAAAATTTCTCCTGTACCAAACGCCCTCTTAGAGTATGTCTGTTAATCAATTATTTTACATAAACCACATAATTTTAAATAAAATGAGTATGTTGCTTGATTTTTAAATACATTTATTTTTTAAAAAATATGACTTGTTTTATTAAATAAACAGGTTAGACCGAGCCAAGTCTAAAACATGTGGGCACTAACCACCTCACAGAGTGGCTAACCTATTTAAACTTCAAATAATTTAGTAAAGACAATGGGCTAAATTATAATTTACCACCTTGTACTTAAACACTTTTTTAAAAAACCACCTTCTACTTCTAATTCAAACAATTAACCTAATTAAATAATATTATTTAAATAATTAGGCATATCTGTTAAGAGTGGCATCCAATTCCATTACTCTCATGTGATGCCTTCAATACTTATGTTGTTTTCTTTTTTCCTAAAAAATTGCAAAACCTAAATAAAAAAAGATAAAAATAAAAATCGTAAAACCCATTCCTGCGCCACTCTTAAAAGAGTTGTTAATGTTCTTCTAAAAAAATTCTCATTCTCTTGTCATTGTTACTGTGTCGTTGATCACCTCTCCCTCACTTTCACTTAACATCAATCTTCTTTTTTTTAAAATTGTTATTCTTATTCTCAAATAGATTTTCATTCTCTTTTTTCCCGTTTTGACTTCGAAGATACACACAGTCGAAGAGCGTGGATGCTTCTACTAGAGTGTGTGGCAATGGGAGGCACATCAAGAGCGTGGTGTCTTGTGCTAACTTGTGTTTTAAATCGCTTGAATATTCTATCATCGTAACCCTCCTAGTCTCTCTCAAACAAGTTTCTGCACAATGATATATATGTTTTGAATAAGTTTTGAGTACAAATATGGGGTATATAATACAAGTCCCAAGTAACAGTTCAATTTAATTTGATATTCCCAAAAGTGACAGATGGAACAATGATCCAAAAAAAATAAACTAAACTCCTGAAATCTGCAACATTGTCCTTGTAATAGTTCTCATTAGGTTGTTTTTCCCCAAGTTACCTTCAAAATATACTACTCTTGCAACCACTTGCATGTAATATGGATGAAAGCTGTCATAAAAAGAAGCAAACATGACATTTGACAAACTTCAAAACTACACATGGTATCAAATGCTGGCAAAAAAAATCAATTGTCCTACAAGACCACTAATAATAACAGGATCAGTCAAATGAATATGGTTACTATTGGAAATACAAATGGCCAAAGATGACACCTTATTGAAGCTTGTATCATCCTTAAATATTTATGTCTCGTATCTGTCAAAGACTTAATATAATGACACGATATTTTGATACCTTGATACAAACAAAACAATCACTTGTGCTTTTTTTTATTCCCCCAAGCAAAATTTTGTCAAAATTGGCTCTTTTACTATTGACATTATCATAAGAAGATTTTAACTCATATTTATCCAATAAAATCCTCTCATACAACTTTCACTTTCAATCCTTACTCTTCTAATATACAAACATAAAATATTAAGAAAACAAAATAAAACAAACTATACTAGCTACTAGTGCAGATCTGCAAGTTGTGTCCAACCTGCATATGCATTATACAAGGACGATCAACCTGTAACAACGAAAAGGCTTGAATAGGGGGGTCTTGAGAGACACAAGGTTGTGGTGCGTGCAATTAAGACCTTGTTTCACCATTAAATCTGCTCCCTGGTTTGCTTCTCGACAGACATATACCAACTTGACTTCCCACCGCTGCGGAGACAATCATGAATCCTTCTAATCAAATAGGAATTTCCTCCCTCTGCATAATAGCATTCCATAGAGGAGATTGCTTCCATGGAACCACTCTCAACAATCAAATTTGTGAAATTCATGTTTCACGCGAAGAATAAACCTTGCAGGATGGCCCAAGGCTAAGCTTCAATAACAGAGTAACTACCAATATGACGCATAAATCTACCCATCCAATCTCCCAAACGATTACGGGCTATACCACCACATGCTCCTTTAGAATTGCTTTGAGAAGCAGTTCCATCGACATTCACCTTAGTCCAACCATAATTTTGTGCTTCCCAAGTGGTGCGCAAATACCCAACATACATACTGGATGATGTTATTCCTTTCCCATGGGCGACCAGACTAATGTTAGACACAAGTTCAAGGATGCACGCAAGAACATGTTTCGATTTACGACATGAGTTTTTGTAAGTCACGTTAGACATTTAACGGAGTTAGAAGTCTTCTTTACAGATATGTTTAATTGTTTAAGTTAAATAATTTAATTAGGTTAATTGTTTAAATTAGAAGTTAAGGGGGGGTTTTTTGAACAAAGTTTAAGTATAGGGTGGTAAATTGTAATTTAGCCAAGACAATATATTAATGAAAATTATTTATGCTTTTACAGTACAAACATTTTATCTGTTACATTCACGTGAAAATAAGGCTAGCTCTATTAAAAAAAATTCTCCTTTCTCTTCACAATAGAACCCATTTTATATAAGTATGCCAGAACAAAATATTTCTCCCAAAGAAAAGTTAAACCCATGTATGAAAGCAACTCGCTTTTTTTTTATTTTTTTGGTTGAAAATGTGATGAAACTCAAATTACTGAGGCTAGCTATTGCTAACTTTCCCCATCCTTAAGATTCAGAAATTACTTCCGCCAAAGTCTTGAAATCCTGTGCTGCTTGCCCTTCTGGTCTTGCTGCATCTTGCACAGTGCTCTTCACCTTAAACGCATTGTCTCTAATCTTCTTCCCCTCATCCTGCACAAGAATCAGATTCAAGCTTTTAAGCAATCCTCTTTTGCTGAAGACCCTACCTTCTATTATGACCCCAATCTCCCAAACATCCTCTATCATTCTTGCACTTGTCCCCTGATCTCCAAAGAATGGCCTGCAAATCATAGGCACCCCACTGCAAATACTCTCAGTCACAGAATTACACCCACAATGAGTCACAAAAACTCCTACCGATTCATGAGCTAAAACTTGAGTTTGAGGAGCCCAAGACACTATTTTCCCACGCATGCTGGTCCTCTCAAGGAATCCATTTGGCAAAAGACCCATTTGATTTTCCTTGAGAGACCACACAAATGGAAAGCCACTTTCTTCCAATGCCTCTGCCACTGCCACAAGCTCATGTGGAGGTGGTGTCACCACTGTTCCAAAGCAAACATATACCACTGATCCAGCGTTCTGCTTGTCCAACCATGACAAGCATCCATTTGTATCTGTGTCAGATGGTGGCAATAGCGGGGAAGGAAGTGGAACAACATAAAGCATAGACTTTAACTTGGATTTCATGTCCTTAACGAACAAGGGTGGGTCTAATTCCATAAAGAAATTCATAACTACTGCCTCAGCTTGAGGTAACACTTTACCAAGTGAAGCTAGTGTCCTTGAAAATAGTGTCTCCTCCTCACCAAAGTTGACTATATCATCTGGCAAATCTTCGAAACGTATCTTAGACAAACCAGGAAGGAAATCCAAGGTTCTATTTGCATCACTAATTGCACACTGCTCTCGTATTAAGTCAGTGTAATAATGGAGAGAAAGTGTGCACGACATTGGAAACCAAACTGGAATCCAAGGAACGTTAAGGGTCTGAGCCACATCAAGAGAAGAGGTTACAAAAGCATCGGCAATAATGCAAGTGACTCTCTGCTTTGTCTCTGCAACTGCCAATTCAATACCCTTGTGCAAGTTCTCAGGACCAGTCTTAAGAAAAAGGTTCAATTTTTCTACTGGATGGTTACCCATTACGTGGCCCTCTGGGATTCCATCATTTATACTATAGGCCTTGATGTTATTTGGGATGTAAGGTTTTGGGAAAAGGATTGCATTGGATTTCTCAGTGCCAATGAAAGAGAATGAACAGTTAGGCGCAGCATGAGCTAGTTTGAGGACAAGGTTCAAGAGAGGCATAAGGTGACTGCCAAAGGGGAAAGCAATGACAGCGACATGTTTGTTTTCCAATGAGTTTGGCATAATTGGAAAGATGAGACTTAAGAGTGGGAAAAGAACAACGAAAGAAATGGAAGGCAAATGTAGGTTGGGGTGTTGGGAATGGCCGAACGAGTGATCTTATACATTTGGTCTTGCAATGAGTCACTTCACAACTAGCACAAATGGCAAGTGAAAAATGGTAAATGACAAGTGGAAAATAGCAATGGATACTTACTTCTACACTCCCAATTCCAAACCATCCACCATTCTCACAGAATCACGTGATACCCATCATACTTCTAAGACTAAATTCCAGCTCCAACCCATAAAATCAGCATTTGACTACAACCTACTTTTGTAGGCATGTAAATAATAAATCAAAGTATATAAAATTTTATGCAATTGGTGTTGTGATTAATCACTTTATAACTATAATTAGGACAAAAATAAAATCCAAAACATGTAGGGACATGGAGCAGTTAATGGCAAATTGTGGCAAGTGGCAATGCAAACCACCTTTCAGTGAATCGCGTTGGATACCGACCGCTAGTGTCATGGTACCTTTAAATTCCAAATCCAAACAAACCAACCTTGGGCACTCTCCAGTCAACAACCACCATTCTCGCATGATCACCTTGGGCACTCACCGTTAGTCCCATGATACTTTTAATTATTAACTTGAAATCAGAAAGGCAAGTAGAAGAGAAGTGTATACCGTGCAATAGCGTTACCTCATGCTCAAAGTCTTCACCTCAAAATGGCATGGGGAAATTTGATAGAAACATCATTAGTTTGGCATAATTGAGAAGCATAAACTAAATAATGAATAACATAATTAACACATTAAACATTGAGGAGGGACACTGGTTGAACCCAAG